TTTATATATAATTGGTGAAAGAGTGAAAGAGTTTTTATCAATACCAGTGTTACGCTCTTCTCTTTTTAACAGCTTGCCTTTAAAGGCCACAGAATTTTTAATGGGCATATTACTTATGAAGCCAAAGCTGCATAGCAAGTGGCAGTTTTTGACTACATGATTATCATGCCTAAATAGCCCCATGCTGTTCAACACAAAAAGCTTACACTTGCATGATGTGAAAATCTGAAACTACACGTGGAGAGAAAGTTTCCTTTATAATAAATGTATTCATCAGTGAACTGCTTTTTTAAGCTTCATAGGATTTAAAAAACTTACGGAAGCTTGAAATAAAATGAACACTTCTGAAGTGTCTGTAATCTGGAATATAGAATGCACTTACTGCAGTATGATTTTCAGGACTATTACAACCAATTCATGCAAATAAAATTGTCTACTGTTATTTTTACCTTTTCACTTCCCATTTGTATTTTTAGTAATGCTGGGATCTGTCACAACCCCATTTTCTCAGAGCAGAGGCTGTATTCTTTACGAAGAGCTGAGTACAGTTTAAGTACTACTTGTAATATGAATAAGAAATAGTAATAATAATTATATCTTACAGTTGAATGTGAAAAAGTTTGTGAGCCCAATCCTGTTTCCATCCATGACAAATTTTAAATAAAATGAAGAGGAAGAAAAGTAGATATTAGGCCTCTTTGTGAGGATACAATTGTGAAAGTTAGTCCCCAAATATTGTAATTATTACTGATATATAAATGGTAATGCCTAAGTATAGGGTTTAATCATGGGTATCTAATCTACATGAGCTTTCCTTAAGGGCAACGAGCAAGTAAGGACATCATAGCATAGCATTGTTGGGCCATATCAGATCTTTTTAGCTTATCCTTATCAGATACTTTCATCGTTACTGATGGGATTGCAGCGGAAATAATTTAAGAACAGGCCATATCTTGATCTTTTTTAGGTTCCCCAGCAGTGGATCATCCCTTGGGAGCAGACTTTCAAGTCCTGGGCACTAGAATGACAGTGCCTGCAAAATTGGACAGGAGCTGGAACAGGAATTGAGCAGAAGAAAATCATACTTCATTAAAACCTTACTTACATCATTAAAGCATCTCTCAATAAAAATTACCTGTGAATCTAGTAATTAAAACAATATATCAAAACCAAAACAAAGACTGGGTGATCTAGTAAGAACAAGAGGAGGCGACTACTATAAAGATTACATACATATTTTAGATAAACCAGTTGAAACTGGCACTTACATACTTCTAAATATGCTAACTGGTGTTCTATACAGTAAATGAGCGCTTCAAATATTTAAACTTGTAATTTTTCCCCCAACCATGTTCTTCAGTAATCCATTGAGAACTCTTCATTTTCCATTCAGTAGAAACAATGTTTACAGTTATATATAAAATGATACAAATTCAAATGAGTGCTAATAAATGTAAACTTACTGTGACTTTAGGATTCTAAAATTATACTTAGAAGAATTTATTCTTTTGAATTTATCCTAAACACTGGTCTAATGGCATGTCTCACACACACTCCATGTATGTATGCAAAACATCGAATAGAGGTGTTTTTATGTGTACAGCACCTTGCAGTAATGGATTATACATTAGACCAAATTTCTAAAGCTCTGAATAAACAGACATTATTACAAAATTATCTTTGAACAAGCACAGAGAAATGGCAACTACTTAGCAGCAATTGTGTTCACTTTTTAAATAGTACACTGCTGATACAATGCATTGCATATCTGAAGAAACAGGCTAAAACCAAGATTACAACTAGCATATAGTATTTTATGGAGACAGGCAGCAGGACGAGGAGTACTTCCTCAACTTAAATTATTATGCTAATAAAAAAACATAGTTACTCGAACTTGCATATCCAAGTGATGAAACAAGTCCCTGGTTCTTAACACTTTGAACAACTGTTCTAAATTGCTTCATTTTTTTAACCTTTTTCCCCTCTACTGTTTCCCCTCAAATATCATTCTTGACAAATTCAGAACCCAAATCCCTCTGATTAAAGGACAAAAAACACATGTGCATTCCTAAGCATGCATGTAAGCAAGCCAACAAAATGTGATGAGAAATAAATGTGTTGGTGGTCATAAATGAAAACAATAGCAGCTAAGCAACATAAGATGATATGTGACTTTTTGTGAAAGACTTTTTTTTTTTGTTGCTTTTTTTATTTGTTTCTTAAAAAATATAATGCTATTTTAATTATTTTAAAAATAAATGGCTATAAAATATTTTTAATCAATATAAATGTATTTGTATTTAAAAAAATATTCTTACAACTGTCAGTAGTTGGCACTGTTATTAGCTTCTTGGCTGTGAGACTAGGCACAACACACTGCACACTAGCATTTCTGGTTATTCCAGAACAGAAATGTTAACCAGGACACAGACATTCTTGCTCCTTCCAAAACAAGCATGCTTTTCAAGCTCAGCAAAAGCTCAGGCAAAGGTCCTGTGCAAATAAGTTGTATAGTTATACAAAGGAAAGGGAAATTCTGGTGGTCACACAGCATCTTCATAAAAATTGCACAATCAAGTTGAAGACTGATCTGTTGAACCCTTAATCTTTGATGGTTATTAGATCTGTGTAGGTGTCAAGCACACCTGCTAAGCTGCCTATTTGGCAAGACAGAACACCTTACAACAGTAATGCTTGAACAGCTTGAACAGATTACTTGAACAGCAACCAGTGAATTGAGGCCTCATTTCACTGTCACTGAAAACTTTTGTCCCCTGTTTGCTGATCAGTAGTACTTGTGTTCTTGTCAGGAAGGAAAGAAAGAGGCAGTGCAATAAGGAAGAGGAAAAATGAACATTTAGGCTAAGAAACTGGAACAGAGCATGCTTTTATCACAGGAGCTAGACTTTACCTTACTGAAACCAGCAAGTTTAAGGCTTGTTTTTCATAGTTGTCCAGTTCGTTTAATGTGTGTATCTGTGTAAAACAAGAACAAATGAATGCAAGTGATGAACGTAAATGCTTTGGGTGGGAGCTTTCAATTTGGGTATTTTTTCTACAAAAAGATACCCAAGAAAAGTCACAGAAACTGAGATCGAAAACTCGGAACAGCCTGAAGAAGCTCATACCTCAAGAGCAGTTTTCACCCCTTGGCACTTCTACATGTTTTCAAGAAAGGCAGAGCTATGGCAGCTGTTCAGGGTGACAATCCTGGCTTCTCTTAAATAGTACCCAAAGAACAATTACAACCTGGAGAGAATACAATTTTTCTGTCTTTCAAACCCCCATTACAGCTTTGATCCTTTTCAGTATCCTCACTAACATTAGCTCAAGGTTCAAGGTTGTTCAAATAGAATAGAAGGTTAAGAAATATTAGCAGATGAACAGAGAACTTGACAGATAATAAAAATGATGCTTTGGAAACTCATACTTTACACATGCTTTAACAGTGTGTCATTCTGATCCTTCACATTTCAGAAATGATACAGCTGAAAAAGGTTAGATACGCTAACAAAGATTACCAAAGACTAACCAAGTGCAACTAATTGGTCAAGGAGTATCCAGAACACAAAAGGTTGTCACAGAATCACAGAATCCACTAGGTTGGAAAAGACCTCTGAGATCATCGAGTCCAACCTATGACTTAACACCACCTTGTCAACTAGACCACGGCACTAAGTGCCACATCCAGTCTTTTCTTAAACATCTCCAAGGAGGGTGACTCCACCACCTCCCTGAGCAGCCCGTTTCAATGCCCAGTCACTCCCTCTGTAAAGAACTTCTTCCTAATGCCTAACCTAAACCTCCCCTGGCACAGCTTAAGATCATGCCCTCTTGTCCTACTGCTGGTTGCCTGGGAGAAGAGACCGACCCCCACCTGACTACAACCTCTTTTCAGGGAGTTGTAGGGAGATCCTTAAAGTGAGATCCATAAAATGAGTAGTCTGGACACTGTGAGTGGCCACAGTCTGTCTCAGTGTGAGCACAAAGGCTTATAAAATGAAAGTAGCAAGGGCAAGTTTTAAAGAAAATGTGTTTCTTCACAAAATATACAACTGGGGCAGAAATATCTTTGAAAACTTATGAAGTGCCTTGTGCACACTAAAACCGTCCGTGATCAGAAGGGGCAACCAGACACGTTCACAGATAAGACATCCACATTATATAATAATAATTAGCTGCGTAGACTCCATCTTTTCCTCAAGAAGTCCCTGCAAGACAAATTGGAGGTGGGAAAATACTCCGCCCAGCAAGCTGACAGCAGCACCACGCTGTGTTTACCCCCGCATTTTCGCCAGCCATCTGCTGCTGGTGTACTTTCCCCACCCGAGCCACTGGCCCCGCGGGGACACCATCCTGGAGCCTGCTGTAACTAGTCCCCGGTTTAAATCAGTGCTGGACCGAGTCCCCGGTTTAAATCGAGAGCGCTGGACCGAGCATCGCCACGAGAGCGGGAGGCTGCCCAGGGCAGGCCGAGGAGCCCCCACCGCGCCAGGCTGACCCTCAGCCCCGCCCGCGGGAGAGGCCCCTCAGCCGGCAGCGGCGGCGGCCCCGCCTCGGGGCGGAGCCGGGCACGCCCCGCGCCCAATGGTGGCGGGGAGCTCACGGCGGGAGGGGCGGGGGCGCCGATTAAGCGCCGCCGGGGCGGCGGAGGCGGGAGGGGGAGATGGCGCTGACGGCGGGGAGGCGGCGGCAGGACCTGGACAACGTGAGCGTGGGCGGGCGGGCGGGAGCGGGGTCGCGGCCGCGGGGGTCCCGGCGGTCCCGGCTGGGCTACGCGTGGGCGCTGCCGGGAGAGCGCCTCATATTCTGTACCGTCTCTTCCTTCCGCTTCTTCTTGCTGTTTTCCGTCCTGAGCGCCCAAGGCTTTATCTGCTTCTTCCGGGGGAATCCGCCGGCCCAGGCGCTTCCCAGGTGCCCTTTCAGAAGTGAGGAGGCCGCTGGGCCTCTCACTCTCCGCGCTGCCCTTCCCTGGCCGGGCTTGAGGTACCCCCGAGGCATTTGGGCCTGGGGTTGTTTCTAATCGAGATTATTAATCTCTGATCGAGGCTACTCCTGTAGCTCCTTCAGTATTTCTGGGTTATTTTATTCTCAGACGGATCCTGTCAGCGCAGTCTCTGGTTTATGTGCTGTGCGGTGGCATGGCCACGGCGTTCTTCTGTTTATTTGGGTGTTTTCCGCCGCCCCAGCTGGAAGCCTGCGCGGGCAAAGCTTGCTGGCTGCGGCTTGTTCCTGCCTGCGGCTTGTTCCTGCCTGCCCTCCTCCTTCTCCTGGTGCTGGGCTGCTGCGGAGGTGGTCACATGCTGCAAGTGGATCAGGGAGCCAAGAGGCTGAAGCCTTAACCTGTGCTCATGACAACAGTAATGCCTAACAGAAGTCCGTTTTTAAGGCGTTTTGGCTTTTGGCAGCAGTGGTTTGGCTCATCTTAATTAAATGAAACCTGTGTTTGCTCTTGTTAGGATGCTTACTAGATTTTAATCTAGTAACATCTTAATGTTGCATTGACTGCATGGGTTTATCATCTCCTATGCTTTAATTCACCTTCTCCCTATGTTGTCTGTAATAATATCTACTCAAGGAGTTTGTCATCCAGTGCTTCCTAACGCTAGCTGTATTTCAGGGTGCAAAGATGGATTGTAGCCAGTCTTGCAGAAAGTAACATGGTCATACATGTTGTGATAAACCTTTGTCTGTGAAGGAGTGCCCTGATCTGTCATGGTATTGCAGAAATGGTGAGTTCATTTGTTCCCATGAGACAAAGGATATTGTCCTAAGGAGAATTGCTGTCTTTGTGGGAGATGCGAAGTGTTAACCCTGCTATTAATTCTGTGATTGTAGAATCATGGAATGGTTTGGGTTACAAGGGTCTTTAAAGTTCTAGTTCCAAACCCCCCTGCCATGGTCAGGGACACCTTCCACTAGACCAGGTTACTCTAAGCCCTGTCCAGCCTGGCCTTGAACACTTCCAGGAATGGGGCATCAATAGCTTCACAAGAGAAGTGCCATTTTTAAATATCTAGGTCTGCAGTAAAATGTCATCTTACCAGGCAGGTATTTCAGCAAGGGTCACTTACAGTCAAAGGCTAGGCTAATTAAAAGGTATCAAATAGGTGAGGAAGGTCTCTTCGTGCTCCTGTGTGGTAGAGGAAGTGTGATATTTGTGGTTCTGTAATAAAACTGATTGTTAAATGAAATAACTCTTGATGACTCATTCCTTTGCTGTAGGCAGCTGTCTGTAGGTGAAATAACACTGGGGGCCAATCTATATTGTCCTCATTAACATGAACTATAAACCTAGGTCTAATCCCAAAACTTGCTTATCCCTCTCTTCTTGTGCTAGTTTAGAAGAATGCCGTGCATCGTTTGTCTTGAGGCTTATGCTGCTTTCTCCTATTGCAAAGAGAAGTCGTGGGTTTAAAAACAGGAAATAGCCTCGTGAATCCTAGCATGTCTCTAAGCCATCAGAAGTCTGGAGTGGGGTGGGGTCTGCCCTTGTCATGTTGCTCTAGGCTATGGTTGGTATCAGTCAGGAGAAGAGCAGTCAAAACTTGAGTGGAAATCTTGAGCTGCCTTATCTTTTGAAGCAAGCAAGTCATAGCTTGGGACTTAACAGGATGCTAGGAAGGAAACTTGCAGTTTTGCCGTTCATAATGGCTGTGTATGTTTCACTTAAGATGTATTGAATGACTGTGTCCTGGCCTGGAAGGAGCAGAGGTGCATAGCACTGGAGCAAGTTCCTTTTCCAAGGTTTTTCCCTCCACTCATCTTCTACTTAGTAAAAGGTACTTCTGGAAACTTATGTAGCTAAAACGTCTGAGCTTAATGTGGAGTCAAAGACCTATTACTTACACCAGCATGTCAAGTATGGGCTGCATTCTCTCTAGTGTAAGCTGAGAATGCCTTGCTCAGCACTTGGTAGCATCTTCTTTCTTCTGTGAAAGAAAATGCTTTCCTACTGTTTCCTTCTTGCCTGAGTGCAGTTCTAACTAATGCTGCAGTCATTTAGACATGTCAGTAGTGTCAGTGGCTGAATCCCTCAAAACTGTTACTGTTACACTGCAGCTTTGTTATTGCCTCCAGCTGTAGTTGGACAGGAGTAAGAATAACAAGGAGTTTCGCAGTACCTGTATAAAGTATGTGAGAGACACTTTAATCATCGCTTTTCCTACTTTTTTATATAAATATGCTAGTACTTGTGGCATCTCTCAGGACTGCTCAGATACTCATAATACGTTTTAAAACCTAAAATCCCTGAAGGCCCAGGGTGATACTGGGAGGTAGGTTACTGTTGGATTCCTCAGAGATGAGAGCTTACCTAGAACTTAAGAGCTTGTCTCAAGATATTGACCTAGTGGGGTGGTTTTCCCACAAAGCTTGATTTACTAACAGAAGATTGCTAAACCTTTGTACTTTACTTTTAGAGCTTACCGATTGATATTCTTTCCCCCCCCTTCTGTTCCAGGGTTCCTTGGAAATAACACAGAGTTTGGAAGATGATCCTCTACTGGATGCGCCACTCATTTCGTCTCACACATTACATTCCCAACTGAGGCCAAGATTTCATGCTATCCCAGCAGTTCTCCTTGCCAATTTCCTGTTGCTAATACATGTAAGTTTAAGAAGCATGATTTCCTTAAGAAAACTTGCTATCTCTGTTCTGAATTCTACTGTTCATGTAACAGAATTCTCCAGGGGTTTGCATGTGCTGTTCTTCTAAACCAGTGAAGTCCCATTTGCCAATGAATTTTGATAATGTGTGTGCTACTGGATAGTTGCTGCCTTCTCATTCTGATTGTTGGTGCTAACATGCTGTGACACATCTTGTTAGGTGGAGAAGCACTTCAAACAGTAGTTTTTCTATGCTGTTGGAAATGTACTTTAAAAATAATATTACTACTGTAGAAGTGCTATACTAGTTATAGAGGGCTAAGATAGTTTTGATGCCGTATCTTCTGAGGCTGAACTTAATTTCAGAAGAAGGTATTTCTTATGGTAACTAAACAAGTAAAGTTGGACTTGCTTATGAGGGGTTGCATGGTAGAGATAGAGGTGTGGATGGAGAGAGAAAGGAATCCAAATGTTACTTCCTCCTCTCACTTCTGGAGGTTAAGGGCAAGAAGCACAGATACTGAACAGTATGCAGGCCTTTGAGGCTGGTAGACAGAAGCAGAGAGATCCTTGCCTAATAGTGTGTTTATCCTTGATAAGCTGCAGAGGCTTATTGTTGCCTATGTGTGGCAACCAAACATGAAGAAGGTAGGCTGAAGAGGTCTGATCCTAAGATCTAACTGAAATGGTACTCGCATGGTGTAAGGACTTAAAGAGCACAGTTGCTTGTCTCAAACACTGCTAAGGGCACAGAAGGATTTTGCCATGAGATAAGCACAGAATGGAGCAACAGGATGCTATTAACTCCAAGCCTGACAGAAATGAGATGTGGTTAGCACATCTTGGGTGATGCATCCAGACAAAACTTCCTACTGTGGCAAACTGTGTAAAGCAACTGCTTGTACATGTGTCACTGGTCAAACAAAGATCACACTTGGTTATGGAACAGATGGCATCTGTGACTACCAAAGCCCCCCTGCCCCCTGAATATGCCTCTGTGGGTACCTGGAACTTGGACTGTAACTTAAGCCACTGTGACAGGAACTTGAGATAAGATAAAGGTGGTACTATTGTCTTAGTGTTATCTCAGACCTAGGGGGAGGTTAACAAAGTTGGGGGACAAGAATGTATCATTGATAATGGACATAAAGAATGTGGAATTTATGGGCCACAAGGAAAGCCAAATCAGTGACTGCTGAAATTGGCTTGGACTGGATAAAGGATAATTCCTTTTAATCCCCTTTTAAAAGGGGGAGATTGTGACCACTGACCACAACCCACTGACTCAAGAGAAGAGAGACTGGACATGTGGTCTAATTAGCATTAGAAGTGAGGGAATCATTTAACCAATAGAATATAAGAGAGCAATGAGCATTAATTTCTTTTTTGTAAAAATGTATAAATAGTGAAAATTTTTAAATTACCTTGGGAGCCTCCCACCACTGAGAAGTCCAGAGTGAAGAAGGACTGCTGCTGGATCCACAGGTGGTGATTATCTTCTATTTAATGTATCTCTCTCTCTCTCCTCCTCTCTTCTATTTCTTTCTATCTCTCTACCTCACATTTTATTGTTAGATAAAATCTATCCTATTAACTTCAACATATGGTCTCATTTTCACCTTAATTTAGGCAGAGGCATCTCTCAATAACACATAACTCTTAGGGACATGGATTAGTGGTGGACTTAACGATCTTAAAGGTCTCTTGCAAACTAAATAATTCTATGATTGTATAATGCCACCGACAATGACCTGAAGGTAAAGCCGGAAAGTGCACAGGACATGTACATATGTGTCACTAGCTATTTTAGAGCTTCATTTCATCTCAAACAAAAAATGCAGTGCTCAGTGCTCTTCAAAACATACACTCTTGCCAGAACTTTAAAAGCATATACCAACCTCTAAGGTCTCTTTTTGGGCAGCTGCATGAAGCTGTTCAATATGCCCCAGCCTTCTAATTTTGGGAGTAAGTGTTTGTAGGCCTCGTGGTAGTATCAAGAAATGCCCCTCTGTCTGTCAAGTAGACTTAAGAAAGACTTCTGCTGTTCTGCAGAACAGACTACCAAAATTCCCAGTGGAAACCATGTATCTAGCCTTATTCTATTCCCCTGCCAGACAAATTCTGGTGCCCTTGAACTCTGTAGTAAATATTTTTCTGCCTAGCCTTGGGGATTTACCATCTGCTACCATAACTGATGCAGCCAAATGTCAGGATTGTAGGAAACTCCTTCCTCTTCTGACTCCACCTCTTCCTCTCCTGCAAATGATGAGAAGTGTGGGGAGGGGAAGAGGGAAAACTACTGAGGGATCTGTCAGCACACACTTTTCCAGGAAGAGTCTTGCTGCTGTTGCTGAAACTGCTGCAATGACCACTTGGTCCTTGGAGCAGAATGGAGAAGGATCCTTTTCTGTTGGTGAAATACAGCTTTATAATTGTCACCTGAAGTGGCGCTGTCTTTCTTACTCTAAAAATGGATGGGGAAAACAAGCATATTGGATTTTCTTCCCCTGTGCTTCTGCAAATGTGCACAAATCTTGCGGAATGCGGAGATGCCAGCTTAGGTTCTGATGGTTAGGCCTGCCGAAGGGATGAGTGTCCTGGAGAAGTTAAGCCATTGTAGTATTAAGCAGTAGAATTGTAATGAATCTCTAAAATAATTTGTAAGTAACTTGGAATATTTCTTCTCCACCTTCCTGTGTCAAGAAATGGAGTTAAGTAGCAAAATAGCTGCTTTGGTGCAGCTGCCTAATTACGCACAATTCTGGAGTGTGTGGGTAGGCCATGCCAGAGTGTGGTAGGGCTGGGTTTTTGAGTGCCTTTCCTTTTGCCAAGCCTTGCTTTTCTGCGGGCTTCTGGCTCCTATCAGGAGATTGGAGAGCAATGTGAAGTGTACAGGCTAGAAATAATTTCTTTATGTTAACTCCGTCCTTCCCTAATCCCTTCTGTGTATGCACATACACAAAACTGAACTTTAAATACTACTCTTTATAAGAATAACTTTTTGTATGTAAAATTCCTTTGTGTTGAGTTGAAACACCTGTTATTGGACTGCCCTAAAATGGAAGCAAAACATACTTAATAAATACCACTCTTCCAGCCAGCTACCCGTTTCCTCTTGTATGCGTTGCTATAGTAGGTTAGTAGCAATGCACTGCTAGGTCATTCCTGCTTGCATCAGTTTAATGTAGCCATTTTCTCTACTGAAATATATTCCTAACTCCTGGAAGGAATAGAACTAAATATGTTACTGTTGAAAAATGGCAAACCAAACAGTAAATGGACCAAATAAAACATCTGAATTATTCTTAATTTTGTAAGAAAAGGAGGTGGTAAAATAATAGATTAAACAAACATTTTGTTGGTAAGCCTTCCTCTTAATTAACTACTTAACCTGGTTACTTAACCCATCTCAAGGTAACTTGGTATTTAATTTACATTGGAAATGGTGGTCTTATGGATAATGTAGGGCACATTCCTGTTTTATTTTGTCTGGGTTTTTTTTTTTTCCTCTCACCTTTTATCCTGTTTGTCCTCTATAATGTCTCTTTTAGGTATTGATGACTGTGTGAAAATTATTTCCCCTTCTTCCTCCCTCCCCAGTTACCTAACTCTGGCCACAATCAGAGGGAGCTAAGGGCAGTTTGTATCAAAAGTAATTTAGTGGTTTTGAAAAGTTAATTTCCATGAAGAGTGTTGCTTGAAAAACTACAAAAATACGAAAAATAAGTTCAAGAGAGTGGAAAGGTCTACAACTTCCTCATGAGGGGAAGAGGAGGAGCGCTGTTCTCTTCTCTGTGATGACCCATGACAGGACCTGAGGGAATGGCCTGAAGTTGTGTCAGAGGAGGTTTGGGTTGGATGTTAAAAAGATGTGGTTCAGTCACAGGGTGGTTGGACACTGGAACAGGCTCCCCAGGGAAATGGTCACAGCACATGGTGTGACTCTTGGGGATGGTCCCTGTGCAGGGCTAAGGGTTGGACTCTGTAATTCTTGTGGGTTCCTTCCAACTCAGCATATTCTATGATCTGTGAAAGGGACTGGTGGGATCTTAGATATTCGTAGAATTAAGTATGGAAATGAAGGTAGCGAATGAAAATCAGATATTTTGCTCTATCTTCGATTCTGATGTGCTGTTTTTGTCAGTTATGAGATGCAGAGCATCTGATACTTTTTTAAGCCAAGTATATTAGAGGTGTTAGACTTTTTCAGACTTGAGGGTTTTTTTATTTTTGTCCCTGGAAGCTCTCAATTTACTTCTGTAATGGTGGGATTTGCTTTTGTTTACAGTTCTGTTTTAAAAATATTCCTGTTCTGTAGAGTGAACCAGGATGAGAAAGTATAATATTTTCTTTTTCGCTGAATGAACACAGTAGGGAAAACATTTTTTATTACAAAAATATCTCTAAATATTAAAACCCCATGTGTATACATATACCACAGGTAATGTGCATCCAAAACTTTGCTTCTAGTTGGCATAAAGGTTGCTCATGCTCACTGCTGATGCTGAAAATTTCTAGAGAAGTCTAGAAGACAGGGAAAGTTATGGCATAGTGGCACTAGTCTGAAAGGATAAGTATATATACAATCTGACTGTCAATCTGTCTGGTTATTCTGACATAAGTAAAAAAGGAAAATGAAAATATCTGATGGCAAATATACTAAAGAATGATTACCACCTGACAAAGGTGCCTACCTGGTGTTAATAATTCAGTTTTTAAGTTACTATGAGGATTCACTTGTCTAATGTCATAACCTGGAGATGATCTTCAATGACTGTAGTAAAGGGTTGATTTTCACTTAGCTACTGTCAATTTAAAGAAACACAGACTATACCAATAAGACAGGAGGCTGTCTCACAGAGCAGCATCAAGTGTAATTGATTGAGTCTAAAAAGATGTGATTTTTCTTTTGAAGAGTATAAATCAAGTACCCCTTAAAGTAAAAAGACATAGTAAAGAGGGTCCAGAAATTAAATAAGTTCACTATGAAGGAAAGACTTGGAGAACAGTGAAATTCCAGGAAGACTGATGATTGTCATCTCTGTTCTGCTGGACACTGGCTTTTCAGTCTGCACTAGGTTCCCAGAGTGACATATAGTGGTTGTAGAAGTGTCTAGTGTTTTATATGTTATCTCTAATAAAATCAATTCAGAAAGTAATGCATAATGAATAAACTACATAATCATGTATATAGCTAAGTGTTGACTTTTATCTCTCTTCCTTTCTCTTCCAGGTTGCTTTTGTTGTTCTAGCATTTTTAGCAGCTATGTTTTGTTCTTACCCCAATCCAAATCAAGATAAGTGCCCTGGAAACTACACTCACCCACTTAAAGTGCAGACTGTCATAATAATTGCAAAAGTAATTCTGTGGATTCTGCATGTGTTTTTTGAACGCTATGTCCAGCACCACCATAGTCAAGTCAGAAGAAGAGGTTACTTTGCAATATACCGATCAACAAAGCATCTAAAAAGGCTTCCACTGCTCATACACTCCACAGGTGAAGTTGTTTTTTGTTCTAAAGCCCTAAACTGTGAAGCAGTAAAAGACTGAACAGTTTATATATGATTGTATATTATGTATTATGAACTTCTAAAAACCTGCCTACGAGCACTTACGAACCTCCTTTGACCGAGCTTTCTGGCCTGCCAGATGCATGTTGTAAAGAACTCTTTGTAGTGGAAAAATGCTCAGGAGTGTGAAGTTGAGTAAAACCTTTAGTCATTAGCATTTAGTCTTCAGCTGTAAAATATTCAGGTCTGTTTGACTGCTAGTGATCTTGATTTGCATATTCATTTGTCTATTTGGATATGTGGTAAGACTGCTAGTCCTTCCAGGAAGTGTGCTGCTCTTCTCTTTTCACGCTCAGCAATTCACATAGAAACAGATGAATTCCTGTTGCTCAACAGCTGTCTGAAATCAGTAAAATAAGCAATTTTCCTATCTTGAGTAGGGCTATGTGTGACATGCAGCTCTATTTCTGACTGCCTTTCTATGGACAAAAGGTGGTGTATGGGAGTGATTTAACTCTAAGTTACATCACTGGCCAGTGGAGCTGAAAAGTATTGGTGCAAGTAGCTGGTGTAACCTTTCTAGAAGCTGGCTGAACAAATCTAAAATCCATCTAACTTGAGGGGTTTATTCACATAAATAGCAGTGGAAAAGGGACCAGTAATGGCTTTTACAGTATTTTTGCCACTTAAAGTCTCACCTCCCTTCTGTAAAGCTTCTGAATAACTGGAGTAGACTTTTTGCACCAGAATTGATAAGTCAAATGGTCCTGCTCTATATATAAACCTAGCTTTTTTTTCCACACAGTCACTAAAAGAGCTAGTCAGCTTGATGAATGTGCAAAACTTCAGGCTCTGACCACTAGATAGAGCTCTGAAGATGAAGAATTGTTTGAAGTGCAGAGACAAAATCAGGCTACAGCAGGCTTAATGATGTAAAAGACTGTTTCCACCTATTGCAGTGTAATTCAGAATACTTAGCCCTGTTTTAGATGGAGCTCACTTCTCCCCTACTAGACAAACTCTGGGCATGTGTGAATGTTCAGGTGCAATCAGGTGTGTGCTGTAGGATTTTGGTAGAGATCATCTGTATTTCAGAAAGTAGATAACTCCATTACTGCAAGCGTCCTGTGTGGTAATCACTGCCAATACCACTTCCATCCTGACAGTTCAGTTGCCTGACACAGTATGAAAGAGAACTGCACTGTTCCCTAGCTACATTAATGGTCTTGATAAATTTAGTTCCTTATCCAGACACTGGTTATAGCATTTCTACAGGAAAAGGACATTCCAAACTCAGTATCAGAAAAGAGGGTGTGTAAAGAATTAAAAATGCTTTTTAGGTCTGTAACTCTATTTGTTCTCCTTGACTAACTGTGCTCATTTCAATTAAACTTTCAGTAACTTGCAAGTATTAAAATAATAGCTAGACAAGTGGAAGCCTGTGCAAGTGAGGAAGGTATTTAGTTTTTGTTTTGCTCTGTTAGCCTCACTAATATGACCTCTTAGAAATTGAAAGAATAAGATGGATAGCAGCAACAAAGCTAGAAACTGTTTAAGCCCATATATGTATGTTAAGTATTTCTAGTGTTTCTTCCACTCATTTTTTTAAGCCAGAAAAATCTATAAGAAAACTTATAATTCTCTACCATTACAGTGAAATGCTGAAATAAAACCTCATTTTGCTGTCAGCAGTTGTAGGCTTGCATCACCTGTGTTAAGGAAATTAACTAAAAGGGCAAGTATGATATGAAATGAAAAAGCATTACTGAAAGATTGCAGCCTAATGCAGATACTGGGGATGAGAAAGTACTAAGTTACTTTCAACAACTGATGAAATTGTTACACCTGTAAAATATAACCTTTGCTTTCTAGGTAATACAGCCCTGCTCTTGATTCTGTCAGTGCAGCATTCCTTTCCTGATCACAGTAAAGTGTACCTGTATCTTATCCTGGGAGTCCTGGGCCTGGAGCTGATTAGCTCCCTCACATGCTTAGTGATTTACACAGGTGAGAGAGGCAAGTTTTGCTTTCTTGAGACTTATTATTATAGCTGATATTCAAGTGTTATGTTTGCCCTCACAGTAGTTCACTTGGGGTACCCCAAGACATTTAACTGCCATTATAAATAACAGAATGATTGTGTGCTTGTAGAAGAACTAAGACAAATTCAAAACAAATAGGAAGGTTGTCAGGCTTGATTTGGTTCCAAGTGCTGCTAAATGAAAGCTCCATGTTATCTCAGAGCTGTTAATCCAGCGAAGTGGCAATGAATGCCTAATTGTTTCAAAAACTGTCCTGTGAACAGGTTTTTCTCATATGCATGCACCACAAGCTATGAAGGAGTAAGAGCTAGCTGGATTTGTCAGAACTGCTTCTGTGATTTCCATATGGGACTTGCGTACCTGGTAGTGTGATTATGCCTTATCCAGCCTTTTTGTCCTTCCCTGGTCCCATCCTCTTTGTCACTAAAATGGAGGATTCTTTGAAATGAATGTTTATAAAACATGGCTATTGAAAGCTGTAATTTATATTAAAATAAGATACTGGTTCATAAAACTGAGGCTTTGCTTTGTGCTACCACTGTAAGTTACACCAAACCTAAAGCAGATAACCTTACAAACCAACAAAGATTCGATTAACCTCTTTCCATTAAACCATTGCAGAACTACCTAAAATGTTGGTAAATAAATGCTTGAAAGAAAATTTTGGTATGTATGTGGTAATGTAATAGCACACAGAGAAATACTGCCGAGGAGCTTGCTCACCTAGGAAATAAAATCTATTCTTGACTCCCTTGCAACAGCATCAAAAATGGACCAAGAAATAAGGTCCCAGCTCTAAACTACATCCTCCTCTTACAACTATGCAGAGGGCCTGAATGCTGTAGGCTTGTCAGGCTTTCCCCTGAATGAGCCAGCTGGCTCAAGTAGACTAACTGTCCTCTGGAGAAATAAAGGCAAGGATGAGGGAACACAAACATGGCAGTCCTAGGAAACTATTCCAAGAATGCTAGAGATCATCCCTTCTTTGCATATGCATACTTACTTTCCTGGGAAACTCAGGAAATAAGAGATAAAATGGTGAAACTTTAATAGAACGTCAGGAATTTCAGTGAAATGCTATTTCTAGCCCTGAGGCCTCCTGGAGCTCAAAGAGCTACATTGTGTGTCTCTTACCTTGGCTGAAAAGGATAAGAAAGTGCTAGAAAATTGACCTTCATAGTGGTAAGATCTGAGCCTGGACTTCTGTAAAAACTCTCAAACTATCTGCTTATTTGTCACCCAAAGGGTCTTGTTTCCTAATTTGTACTCTACCAGTTCCTGTGATCATCAGATTCATTAACCAATGTATACAAGGATGTTGTTGGGTGCAATGTTTTGCTTTCTAGCTGAAGGAGGCTTGAAGAAGGGTTCAGTGAATCCTGGAACCAAGGGAGAGAAGGGACAGAGCTGCATTGCTAGGAAGAAGTAAGGCAATGTCTTTTAGTAACAGCTGCCTTATCTCCTGAGCAGCCCCAAAACAACAGTCTGATTCACTCTCTGAAACTTGGTGTACAAAGCTAGAGTTAATTTTTATGTAACTTAACACTTTCCTCAAGGTGAGGAAGACCTCCAGTCACCCTAGATTGCCTTTTCCATTGGGTAGTATACCTTGTTTTCCGTTTTCCATCCCAAAGCTTGAGCTAAGCTAAGAGACTGCTTGCACGTCTGTCTTGTGTATAGTGCTGGTTTTTAAGGTTTTTCAATATTTTAATATAAAAATTAAGCTGTATTGGAGCAAAACAAATGTGTGGCCAATTTTTAAAATACCTTGAGAATCTGTAGTAATAGTGACATTCACATGGGTTTTCCTCTCGCAAACAGAGTATGTGACTGGGTGGAAGCATGAAGCTTCTTTAGTAGGACAGTTTTTTAAGGGCAGCCCTCTGGTTAGGCTTGGGATTCCCCTCTTCAAGGCAAGCACTTAGCAGATACTACTTACTGTTAAGATAGTATCAGCTATTGTAGCTGAGCAACAAGGGGAAAATTAACACTAAAAATAACTATTTTTTGTGTTAGTATGTTACTGCTAAATATTGGAGAGAAGGTAGCACCAGTTCATACATTGTTTCTTCACAGTGAAATAGTTATTTCTTAACTATGAGACATAAATACTTGTCTGCAGAAGTTTCATATACCTGATTTACTATCTTTTAAATATTACTGTCTAAAAAGTCAGGAATACCTGACTGTAATTCTAGACATTTCCTCTTGCTTTTTGGAGCTATTTTAGGAATTGTATGATACCCAGTGTCCTGTGTAGTACTACTGCCTTTCTTAAGAGGCATCTCCATGCAGCAGTGTGTGTGTATAGAGCTGTAAATGCAGAGGCAGGGACTCAGAAATTTACAAGGAATTGCTGTGATTGACCTATAACAGGCTCGACATATATAAATTGCTCAAGTGAGGTAAAAGTGCACAGAATGAAGTATGATACAGAAAGCTCTAAATGTCAGCTTACTATTCTAAGTTTTTTACTGCTAGGATAGGGAGTCAAGCTTTAAAAGATTTACTAAATTTATGTATTTAATTACTTTCTCACATACTTCTAATATCACTTGAATAAAAGACTAACATTCCCACAAACAACACATGTTAAGAATTCCACATCCATTCCTTTGTGGTTTTATTTGTAGAGAAATACCATCATAGAAATAACTAACCTTTGAGCCTAACTTGTAGTTAACCTCTGGAGGGTCTTAGCATTGTTTTAGCAGGGTGGCCTGTAATAAACCCCTCATGGTACTGATTTGTAAGGACAGTCCTCCTCTGCTGCAGTGGTGTGGATTTCTCCCAGAGCTGGACTGTAATGTTTTTAGTGGCATTAGAGTATTGCTTCGAAAGCAGCCCTAATTGCAGAGTCCTGAAAGCATGCTTTGGATATTTTGATATTTTCTCTGAATCAGGATCTGATATTGAATGACTTTAAATATTTTCAGCTTCCTTTCCAAAATCATGCAGAGGATGCCTACAACTTTTCCCAGCTCTCCCCATCCCACACCTGTTAAATTTAGTCTTAAACTTTATTCACAGGTGCCCAGGAATGACTTCTGGTTTTGATAGCCAGCACTGCAAGGTTCACAATGTGAAGCTGCTCACAGAGCTACTCTGGTTTGAATACTTAGTGGCTTTCTTTTGCAAGTCTGCCCTAGTCTGAGCAGACAGACAAGCTGCTACTTCCTTGCAGGTAGTCTAGTTAAACTAGTACTTTTGGAAGAGCTTAAGCCAGAAGTTCTGACCTAGGTATTAGTAACAAAACTTCTGACAACTTTTTTTATGACATGTTGTTTAATTGACGGCCTGAATTTGGAGACTGAACCTCCGTACCTTCTAAAAGGCAACAAAGGTTTCACTGTCTCTTAGGTGACAGATTAAACTTTGCAGATGTTAAGCAGTATGTTCAAACTTCCCCATTTAAGTCTTCACGGTGATCTTTTAAGCAGCAGGACTGAGGGGAATTAAAAATAAACCAAAGCAACAAATAAACCAATTCAGCATATTATCACTAACTTGTAATCGAAGCCATTCCAGAAATGAGTAGAAATAGATTCTGCTTTTGCTTTCCCTCTTCCTCACTCCTCAGATTCCTTTATTGTCTTTCCATCTCCTATCCTAAGCTAATCTTAGAATCATCTGTTACAGATTTTTATAACTTAGAATCTGGTGATAAAGATTTTTTTCTGGTTGCTTTCCAACTAATTTATAAAGCTTTGTTGCAGTGAAAATAAGCAACTTCAATCGTGCCAAGCCAAGACCTGACATAATTGAAGAAGAAAAGATGTATGCCTACCCTAGTCATGTTACCTCAGAAATTGGATTTAGGTAAGATTTTTCTGTGTTAACTTTGTGCGGGTTCAGACATGGTATATAGGTAACACTATTGTAATTGCATTACTTCATGTAGACTTATGTAGAATCTTACATCTCTCAACTAAGCCAGAGATGGGAATAACAGTTGTGAAGGAAACTGTATGCTTAAGGCTGCCATTTTAGATGCACAGATGAGATACAGCACAGTCTTGTACCTTCTACATAGTAATGTCAATTTACTGTGATACAGAAATCCTCATCCATACAGATGGAGGTGATTTGACTATTTATGGCTGGCTGCATGAATCTTTAATATAAATAACTGTGCTTAATCTGGTTTAGTTAATTTTGTATGGGAGTTGGGGGAAAGATACTGGTGTCTTACACTGTTTAACTTTAAAAGTATGCCTGAAGAAGCCTAGCTGCTTCAACCAGTTTTTTCAGGGAAGGAAATATATTGTGGTCAATTAGTAGACAAAGAAAACTTGACAGCTCTGTTCTGTGCCAGCAGTTGGACATGAGATTCTAGCAATGGATTTGCAATATGTTTTGAGTTTGGGAAGGAACTTTAAAGGTGCAGACGGCACTTAAGGGGTAAAGAAGGTCTCAGTGAGACAGAGAAGCTGTCCAACAGTAACTGAAGCTATCCCAAGCACTGAGACTTATTTTTTGATTGTCCTTTATGTACCTTCCGACTGCTTGAACATCTTCCAGTTGATGAAATCAGTCTGGTGTGACTTAACAAAAACAAGTAATTGAAACTAACATCAGCTTCCATATAAGAATTTAATTAGGAATTTTCTAATACGCTATGACTTGCTTCTATATGTTGTGCCTTGGTGAAAAGTTGAAAGTGCAGAAATGACTAATACTTTGGCATTTCCTCTGGTGTCACAAATGCAGCATGCACGTGCTTTTATGGAACTTGGAAGTAGGTGTCCAGGATACAGGAAGGATTTAGGGTTGTCTTGAATTTTGATACCATGTCTGACTTCCATTTTGATATAAACACCATAGTGATTGCATGGTGGACCTCATTCCTTTCTCATTCAGCTTCTCCCCTGAGAAATTCTCAAATGCCCAGGGAATGAGTCTGCAACAATGAGCAGCTGAGGAAAAGACTCTGATTATTTTTGATTAAGGAGTGTAAACTTCCTGTGAGAACTGATTGAAAAAATGTTATTTTAATTTAGCTCTATACAACTGTGACTCTCTTTCCCTTGAGAGTTAAGGTCTATTGAAAAGTGAATCCTGTCAGCCCTTCAGTTGACCTTGTTAGAAGAATGTTTTTTGAATATCATGACCTCTGCAACCTGAGTTACTACCAAGACATCTTCAGGAGCTTTAAGTTGGGAGTGCATATTACTGGTTAAAGTTGCAAGCTTTCTGTTTACAAAACTTGTGTTCTTTATTTTTTCCAGTTTAACTAAAGTAGATTTTTAATTGGACCTAAGCTTTTTTCCACTTTCGGTATCTTCTTTAGCACTTTCTAAGAACTATGAAAAGGGCAGTGTTCCTCCACAAAAATGCTGCAAGGCTGAGGAGCAACTTTTTAAGCTCTAAGATGCTCATAAGTGTACTAACAAGGCAGATTGCCAAGTCAGCTAGGAAGAAATTATGTGTAAGGAAAGAGTACAATACACTCAGGCATTGATACTTCATCTTGCTGTTTTCTTAAAAATTCTTAATTAGGTTTGATTTGATTAAAAATTCTGTATTTTTATAGACTTTTTTTCTCATTTAACTTGGCTTTATTTAAATGTTGCAATGTTACTATTGAAGTTAAAATGAGGGATATCTGAAAAGTGGATATATTTTAAGGAGGAGGGTAGCAGTGCATAAAGTTGTTGTAGATCTGAAATAGCACAACTTTTGGTACTGATGCTCTTTAGGTAGGGACAGATATCACTGTATATAGTAGCATATCATGTATGGTACTCTAGGTTACTCAAGAGAGTTCTGTCTTAAACAACTTATGATCCCTCACAACTGAACAACAATACTATGCCTGCTCAAAATAAGCATCCTAATGTATGTTTAAAATGTTCCATGGTTCTGAGGACAATTCCAACATGTTGACTGTCTTAGTTTCTTAAACAGTAAGAATCCTCACTCTGAACTGTCTACCAGGAAATATGTAACTTGACTATGTATACGTGGCATGAAGTTTAGCTAAACTTTCTCTTCCTGCCTTCTCATAAAGGTGTTGTAGATTGCCTCTCCCCTCAAAAGTTAGTTGAGCTTGGCATAAGTAAAACTGAGGGAAATGACTTGTTTAAGTAGTGTTTATTAGCTCTGACATTTCACGTGTTAGAAAGCTGCTGGCACTCACTGAAACCCATATTCACTTTTGTAACTTCAAGGGAAAATTCAAGTTTAGAAGAGATAGTTGAGAAGCAAGGAGATGTAATAGAGTATCTTCAGCGACACAATGCACTGCTCAGCAAGAGACTGTTGGCACTAACATCTCAGCAAATCAAAACTTAACAGCATTTGGAAAACTGCTGCTGGAGCTCTGGAGGGAACATGAGGTAATGTAATATCCAGACTGATTTTTACAGATGACTCTTCTTCAATTGTCTTTCACATTTTGAAATAGAAGTTCAGCTGGAAGGATAAGCTCTGCATACACTATAAACCTGTTACAACTGGACACTCTCTTCAAATCATCAGTTCTGGGAAAAAAGTTCTGCAGCTTCAACAATTTTTAATTCCTCATATATTAAAGTTGGACCTGAGTTAACGGTTTAACTTTGCTCAGTTGTTTCTATTATTTTGTACTGCTGTAATCTTTAAGCTTCAAGCTACCAAAGTATTTTACATTTCTAGAACACATATCTGTTCTCTAGAAAAATCTGACTTTGTAAGGGATGTCTTTTCAGTTTCTATTGCTGAAGCTGGGACTAGATATATTATGTCACTGATTCCCATTACTTCCAGTGATAGAGGTGGTGTACTTCACTAATCTGATACAGATACTTTTCTAGATCAGTCTCCTTTTCTCCTTTGTCAAGAAAGTGGGGAAAATTGGTGTCTAATTTAGGATTTAAAAAAAGTAGTGGGTGTCCTAAAATTGCAAATCTCACACATAAGTGTGTGGTACAAAACAATGTCATGATAATTAATTTGAGCAGTTGTTCAGAATTCTGGCTTTAAAACTCTGAGATCTTCAGGGCTCATGCCTTTCCCATTACTAGGAATTTGTGTCAGCTAATAACAAGATTCCTTCTCTGCTGACTGAACTAACTTAATACAAAAATACTTGAGAGTAAGCTTTTTCATTGACTTAGCAACTAATTTATGGTGAATGGGTTTAACAATTCTGTCAGAGATGCCCAAGTTAACGCATACTTGCTCTTTACTTTGGCTCCTCAAAAAAACAGCATCTCGATACAAAAGCTAAAATGGTGTATGTGGGGAAGTGAAAAGCAACAGAAGACAGGTCTTTCAGAACTTGAAGAAACAAAAATTTTTGGTTTTAATTTATGGTGAATAAAGGCTGGTGAAAGAAACCTCTTGTTTTGGGTACTACTTTGTCTACCAATGTAGGCCAAAAATTATTTTAGAAACCAATACCTCTGTGGGAATAGGGTAATCACTAATCAAAAGTGGGAAGAAGACTGTCATTACAGTCGAATATAGGAAAAGAAAATTAATTCATCCTACTTTAGTCTTGGGGTACAACTTCAGAAATACCTGAACTGTGTAGTATGCAACAATTATTGGTGTTGTCTCATTCGAAGGAAAACAGTAAATAGTGGAGGTTTTGCTGCTATCCAATACTAGACTGTTCTCCTTAACTGTTGTTTCTTGAAAATGCAGCCAAGTTTTTATAGTATACATGTAAGGAATAAAAATGTTTGGTTTTAGAACTCAGGTTTTGATGTGATTGTGTTTATCAATTTATATCATTTCTATGAAGAGCAGTAAAATGTGACTGTGAAGTTCATGCACAATAAATGCAACCAAGGAAGAGTGTGAATTCTGTCATTTCTAAGCTCATGTAAATCCGGTTCCAACAGGCAATCTGTGCAGGTTTTTTCTATTACAGTGAAGTTCTCACAGCAGTGTTGGCATTTAAAACGAGCAAAACTAGCCAAACAAAGATAGCTGTGCATTTGTTTCGAAGCTTTGCATTTAGTTTTATTTTCTGTCCTGGGTAATGTTTTTTTCTATCATGCCTCAGATTTTCCCTGCTAACTAGTGTTTCTCTCCAACACAGAGAAATAGGCTACATAGTGTAGCATAACAACTTACTGTATTTTGAGGTAATTTCTCAAATCTTCCACTTCCCTTCCTTGACTGCTTAAAGTAAAATTTCAATCAACCAGTTGTATTGCTTTCTGTGGAACATGGTAGCTGGAAAGCAAAGTGGGGGTTGCTGTGTGAGAACTTTGCCATCTTCTGCCCTTTAATTGTGGCTTTTCATAAGTACACAAATGATAACTCAACAACCACTCACCTCTTGCTCCAGTTTTATATCTTCATCGTAACCCTAACTCTGTCTTGTTTTCTTAGTATCTTTAAGCTTTTTCTTTGAGGTGGCGGTGGGGGTAAGGCTTTTCACATTTGTGTGGGCTCCAGCTAGGAGCTGACCCTCTTTACTGTTCACGCCTCTATACTGTGGCCCTGTTAGAGCTACAGTGAATTGTCCTGTCCTGCTCCAGTAGCTCCTACTTGACAACATGCACAGCTGTGTGTGTCAGTCCCAAGGCCCTTGTCTGCACCTGTGCAGGCCAGCCTTTGCCCTGCTCAGAGGCAGAAATACTCCTCAGCCCCCTGGGTTCCACTGGTGCTGCCTGCCCCGGTGCATGGTGTGGCACTGCTGGGTGCTGCCAGGGGCACCTACCTCCTCCTGCTGGCCAGCCTGCCCTGGCCTGCAGAAGGGGACTGCAGAGCTGCTCAGGAAGACTGTGTGCATTCAGGTGCTTGATGTGCAACATGAAAGGGCTGCTGCTGTGCAAGAGAGATGAAGCTCAGCTGCGACCTTGCTCAGTTGTCATGCCACAGTGCTGAAATTGAACAATAAGTCCTAATTGTTCTGGTTATACTGTGTCTTGCTTTTCGGAAACCTCTGTGGGTGCTGGGTTTGGTGGTGGCCAAAGCTGTCTGACCAGCTTCGGAGCAACCCTTGGTCCATATCATCAGTGTTGCAGCCGGGGTCGCTGCAGTGTCAGCACCTGTTCCTGAGCTGGATCTTACAGCCTGAAGTAAAACCCATACTGTGCTGCACATGCAGTAGGCAGTGAAGCATCAGGTCCAAGTTTCAGGGCAGGGGAAAAGTACTGCCTTGTGAGCACAGGGGTTTGCACGTGCTCCACTGCAAAGCAGCGCTTTGCTAACCACCATCACAGCCCTTCTTGGGGGATGTGTGGCAAATGTGCATCACAGCCCTTCTTGGTGGATGTGTGGCAAACGTGCACGTAGGTGAATACATGTGACTGTGAACAGCTGCAGTGATGCTCTTTATGTAACCACAGCTGCTGAACTGCATTGGTATTTGCAGGTTCATGGTCTTGGTAAGATCTACGGGATTGCAGCTGGGGCAGCAAGAAGATAATGAAAATGAAGGAATGTTTCCTAATATATGTTACAACTGTACATTAAAATAAAAATTAAAATAATGTATTCTGGTTTTTATTATCCAGGTATTACCCCAATAGCTTTGTTTCTCTAGAAAAACAAGATACGTGTTTCAGGTTTGGGGAAAGTATTTCAGACCACCTAAGAAACATAAAGGATGGAGGGTTGCCCCAAAAATGTTCACTTTCTGGGTTTTTAATAATTTCTGGATAAAATGCTACATATTTTGTACCTATGAAAGAAAAGATGTGATGATATCTTGTGAATACACATCATATATAAGGGAAAAACTCTGGGTATTTCTGTTTTGTCTTTCTGAATAGCTCATAGTGGATATTCTAGATAAACACTTTAATATTTCACCTCACGAGGGAAATTACTGATTGTAAAAGATTTGAACAGGATTTTCCTGCTTTTAAGGTTCTACAGTAACAAGCAGTTAAGTGGGCTTCCTCCACTGAGTCAATCTAAAAAACATTGCAGCAAGGACCAAAAGGACTTGGGCAGACAAGAGTTTAACAGATAACTCTCAAGAGAAGAGGAAAAGCATCTTCAGCCTTGGAATGAGTTAGGCTCTTAGGCATTCTTTTAACTCAAGACACATATTGCCCTGTTTGTGCTGTTGGAGTGTTTCCCTCTTGGAACAAATATTTTACAGCTGATCACTAGTAACAAAGAGAAAGGCCATCGGAGTAGTATCAGTATGTTAATTGTATTTGTCCGATGATAGTTGAACATTGGAAACTTATTTACCATGCTAATGTTTCTCCTAATGTCAATATAAATCTTATGTGACATTTATATTGACGTTCTCCTAATGTCAGTATAAATCTTATGTGACCCTTGGCTTTGTGTACAGACACCGAGATATTTATAGCATATGTATGTGGCGCAAGGGAAATATTTCCAGTCTTTATTCTTCTATAATTTCCTTTTTTCCATACTGGAAAGGGAAGAGGTGAATTGTTTATTATCTTTTGAGAACATGCTAAACTGCTGTTTCTCACCAAAGCCTTGCATTTACCTCTGTTTCCTGTTGACCTGCTGTTACAAGACTTAATGAAGCATACTTTAAAATAAAATTTTCGTTTTTCCAACGCAACAGCTATAAGGCAAAGAGTTAATTCTAAGTTTCAGAGACTCACATTTTGCCCTTCAGAATTTTGAGGTATGAATCTACCTTGGTATCAGGTCTTGACTGTTAGATTGCATCCATGCAAACATCATCAATTCTGATTTTCAGTACACAGCAATTTGTATTTGTACAAACTTCCTTTCAGTGTACACTGGTACACACACAAGGAGAGGTCAGTCAATGTGCCTGTTGTAGCACTGTGTCCAAATGCTTCATGTTTGTATGTGTAAAAACTCTTATCATGCAAAACTGTTTTTACCACGAGCCTTACATGGCACACGTTGGATGAAAACAGTTTCAGTGAAGCCAAAGGCAAATCCAGCTCTTCTGAAAACTAAGTCCTCTGAAGCTTCCACTGAAGGTAAAAGTCAATGTAGTGTTGTGCTGTAGTAGGATGCTACTACTCAGCTCTCTTAATTCTACTGTGCAAGGCATCTAGCACTTAGAAATGTATTTACAGTATCCAACCTTTAATGAGGGAAGTTACTGCACATTTTAGCTTCTGTTATGCTCCAGACTGCTGCTAAGCTCGTTTTTGTCCTGAAAAAAGACAATTTTTTTAATTTGTGAGAACATTCAGATTTCATTCTGAGAGGTAATTATAAATGTTGCTTGTTCTGGGCTCGGGGACAAAGCATAGTCTGGTTTTGCTGTAATCCTAGTGGGGTATAACGATGTCATGTTACAGCATGCTGTGATTATACCAACCAGTAGTTTTAAATTAGCATGTTTTGTACATGACTTTTATCAGCATTTTGCATTTTGAAAAATGTCAGGAAAATTTTTCCATGAATACCTATCATTTATTTGTGTCAAATATTGAGTAAGAAAAATTTTTACACACTGATTCCATATGCATCCACAGGAAAACTAGGCAAATTCTCCATTTTCTTTAAATGCATTGACTTTGACAGCTGAAGAAAATAGATTTTGAGAACTGTATGAAGTTTATTTTAAATGAGATATTATTTGAAATGCATACTGTCTTTGTACAAAATATACAATCAACCAACCAGTTGATAAACATATCTATCAAAGATCACAATCAATGTCTTTTTCAAAGATTTTATGGTATCAGCATGTCTTAAAGAACAGACATTTAGAATAATTTTGCAGACTGACAACAGGCTTCCTCTGTGAAGGAACATGCATATATAGCTTCTTATTAGATACATTATGTTTTTCTTACAATTTTATCAAAGTTAATTGAATAATTATGGTTATATGAAATATCCAGTGCCACATTAGATCCATTAACTCATATATGACATAACTGTTAAACAGCTACTCCTTTTCTTGCTTTCCCACACTCTTTACCTGTACTTCTAAACAGAGATAGCCATTGATACGGATGAAAGCCAAGTTAAATAAATAATTTAAAAAATATATTAAGCCTCTTTGGAAAACTGCTTTTTTTTTCAAGACTCCAAAGGTTTACCTGCAGGACTATTGGTTGGTATAGACAAGTTTGACCACCTTTTTATGATGGTTTTCCACAACTCTGGAATAGGGTGTGATGTTATTTTTTTTTTTTCTGTATGCAGAGAAATTTGAAACTCCTGTTAAGTTATAAGAGTATGAATTCAATTAAGTTTTCAAGTTCTTAGATATAAGGGATTACATATAGACATCGATTAGGAAGTTTCAACTACACAGTTTTCTTGATTGCTGTTCTTTCATTTATTAGAAATTAGGTGTTGCAAGAAGAAAATTTTAATACTGGATTTAAACCATGACAGTGTTATCTTTATCTTTGCTCATCTTTATACGTTTTTTAAAAAATAATGACATTTCAAGTCTAGTGCAATGACTTAAAAATCTGAATATGTTTTATTTTAAGGTTTGTTTTAGTTGTGCTAATGAAAGGGCTACTACATTTTCTTTTATATATAGGTATGTAATTTCCGCTGATATAAAAAGGAGATGTGAAACGTGTATTTTTAAGAACAAAACTCTAAAGTTAAATGTCTTGTCGACCTACAGTGCTGAAAAGAACAGGCTGTTTTCTGTCTGAAATTCTCATTCATTGTAGTGCCATGTTCAAATATCCCATTCATTTAAATTACAGGAATAGAGTACTACACAACACTTTGGTTGATCAAACAAAGGTTTCTTTTCAATGGTCTATTTTTATGCTCTATTTATAATACTGCAGTGGGTATTTTAGGAAAACTACTAAGCAAACAGCTCTGTAGTACTGTTTTAACTGTCTGGTTTGGCAGCCCAGTGTAAGAGAACAAATGATAGGCTTTGCAGTAACAGCTCATTAGACAACAGGATGGGCTTGACCTTAAGGCCTGACTTAAGAGATCTGAGTTATCAGTTTTGCATGACCGTTGGCTAATCTCTTATCTCTGTATGCTTCAATTCTCTATCTACAGAATGAGGAATAATACTCTCTTTGCTTTCTTATATTGTAAACTCTCACTATGCTTACTCTATGTGAAGCCAGTAGGACCTGCTGACTTTGGTACTATTACAGTAACACATTCTATGTTATTGTTAAGGTAATTCCATAAAGATGTAATGTTAGGCGTTAAAACACATATGTATATATTATTAATATATAAAACTACAAATCAGAAGTGGACACAGTTCTGTGCTGGAGTCTGACATTACTTCACCCTAAATACTGCCCTATATACAGGCTGAATTGAGTAGTTAACAGCACATCCAGTTTCATTCAGTCTGAACGTTACATACCATTATGAGTCCCCTTGGATGGATCCTTCCTTCTTAATGCCACTGGAACCCCAGCTCAGGTTTGAGTTTAATTTGGTTTTTAACTTTCACTAGTCATTAGGAGAGTCAAGGAATTCACCTCGAATGATTCAACCCGGTAAGTTTCATGTACATCCTCCATCACCACCCTTCCCCCACCCCTTCCAGGTCCAGCAGAATGTGACAGACAGGATTGCTGAAGATGAAACTCTGGGGGCTGCCAGGTCAGCTGTTGTCGATCTGGACTTTTGACTAATTTAAATTCTCTATCTGTTTAACTGTTGCTCCTTTAAAACACTGAAAAGCCCATTATGAAATTGCTAGGGAAAAAAAAAAAGGAGAGAAATAGTCATTAATGAGAGATTTGGTAGTCTAAATTAGTTTCATATGAAACAGAATATGTTATTTATGAAATACATGGGTGAAATTTGGAGTAATGTTTCTTAATTTGGAAATTTCATCTACAAGGTTTAAGGGAAAAAAAAAAACACAACAAAAAAAACCCAAACCGAAACCAAGAAGGCTCCTAATATAAAATTTTCTTTCATTTTTTTCTCCTGTGTTTTGTCTATGCAACTGATAAAAAAAAAAATCAAGTCCAACCCTCTCCTCATTTTAAATGTTGTGAGAGGCTGCTGTGCTCATTCTGAGTTTCCAACCACTAGTTGAAATTCAGGCTTAAGGGTCCGTCCTGTTTGCATCTGCAAATAGCTTTATCCATATGTACAACTCCGCTGAGATCAATAAGATTACTCATGTGAGTCAAGTTACCCAGGCATGTAAATATTTGCTGAATTAGGACTAAAAGTGGAAGGGAATGTAGGTGGTAAATCCTACTTAAGATAAAGGAGCTGAGCACCCACAATGATGACTCAAGAGACTTAGTTCAGGTGTCTGTTACCCCTTACTCCCTAGTCAAGCTTTATTGAGTTCTAAACAGCTTTATAAAGCAGAAGCATCTTTAGCTAAATGTTTACAAAATGTCTTATGAATTAGTAAGTACACTGTTTTGCTTTGTTATTGACTTTTGTTACAAGAAATCAACTCCCCACAGAAAAGGAGATAACCCTGCAAATACCTTTTATCTAGATATTCTGTAGGGAAAGTAATTCCAGTGTAACTGCACATGTATAATGCACCTACTGCAGTTTCAAGCAAAATGCATTCATTGTACACGGTTTCAGAACATACAAGAGAAAATGAAAATGCTTTCTACACAGACAATTTCCAGATATGGATGCTGAATCGGAGGAAAAGGGAGTTAAATTTACTTTTCTTAGGAGCTGAAGAAGTAATTCAGAATCGATTTAAGGAGTCTCTGGGCCTAAATTCCACTGTCCCTCTGTCCATTCAGTCTCTGCCTGCCGAGAGAATTGATCTGATTGCTTATCTTTTTAGGTTTCTGCTTAAACTGATGATGGAATCTCATTTAATCTGTCTCTTGTCTAAATGTAGCAGTGAGAAGACATGGCATTCAGTAGTGAAGCATCCTTCTGGCATGCCCTCCTTTATACTTGCAGCTTATTTCTGCCACTTGGTATGCAAGCCCATCTGAGATTAAATTTAAAGTATGTTCATCTTTTTTTCAGCTTCACAAACTTGCCAGTTTACCATCCCATATGCACATTCCACGTGATTATAGGCCAGCACTACAGAGTGGAATGGTACCTTTTGCACGGCTGTTTGGGGAGTGGTGTAGGCTCTTTTCACCAAGGCAGTTTATGCATTGACAAGATCCTTGGTATAGGGTTGTTAAAAGTTTGACTTTGGTCTCCTTTTCACTGTTAACCACTCAGTAAATCAAAACATCTTGGTTCTACAGAGGGCAGGTTCTGCCATCATTTACTTAGCATGCTGTCATGCCTGGGGGTACAACATTATTTTAATATATAATGAGTTTAGAAGATGCAAAACTACTGACTACATGTTTTATTCATTCTTAAATTGCAAGAGCCCTGGTTTCCTTTTGATGCCACCCTATTTGCATATGCTACCTGTGTGCTTCTGCAGTCACTTAGTATTTGAATGTATATGCCCTCATCAGCTATAAAGCATTAATGTTTTGCACTTGTATAGCCTTTCATCCAAGGAGCTCAAAGTCTTTTGCTGACAATGATTAAGAATTACAGTCCCCTTTGAAGTGGGTGAATGCTACTACCTTCATGTTACTGATGGGCAGAGTGAGGTGACTTCGCCCAGCATCCAACACGAAGGAAGTGTCAGCGCTTGAAGCCCCGGAGCATCCTCTGCAGCTGCCGCTTTGTCCAGCCCTTACACTAATTACACTCTTTGCCCCGCAGCTTTGCCAACAGCCTTGGAGGGCAGCGTTCGGCCCGTTTAGCGGACTCGGTTGTTGTTCACCCTGCCTCACGAAGGCATTTGCGCGGGGGGCGGTAGCCTGGAAGGGGGACAATGCGGCGGCCGACGGGACCCGCGCACCGGCCCCAGGGCAGCGACCGCCCCGCCGGGGCCGCTCCAAAGCCCCGTTTTCAAACCAAACGAGGGAAGCCCGGATGCAATCACACCTGTGGCCTGGCTTGGTTCCTTCAGTGCCTCGTGCACTGTTCCGAATGGCAGGTGTGAGTTCGGAAAGGTGCTCACTGCGGGGAGCGCTCCCGGCCGCAGCCGGCACACGCGGATTTACCTGGGCAGGCTCGGGCGGGGGTTCAGGGGAAGGGCACCCTGGAATGGAGCGGCATGCAGCGCCGGTGGGAGCAGCCGTGCCGGTGGAGCTTCCTGCGCAGGGCCAGGTTGGCTGCGGAGAGAAGGACGGAGGGAGGGAAGCACGGCGTGAGGGGGGCGGCCGGCAGTGTGCCCCGGCGGTTGCGCCGCGGGGGCGGCCGGTGTTATCTTCCGCGGGACGGCAGCCCCGGCCCCGCCGCTCCGCTCACCGAGAGCTACCGGTGTCCGCCCACCCCGTGCCGCCGGTGCTTCCCGGTAACAGGTCTACTACAGTTGCTTACCTTGGGTCCCTATTTATCCCAGCCCCCCTCACCCTCGAAGTTGCCAAACTCCTGAGATAACCTGAGGCATCCTCTCACGCTGCCGCTACGCGTAGAGATGAAGCGCACAGATCGATGCGCTAGGTAGAAACTCGTCTCGCGAGTAGAAACTCGTGTTGGGCGCGATGAGAGAAACACGCCGGAGATGCCCACGGGAGGCACGAACCCCACGCTCCCGTCCCGCCACATCCATCACGCTGAGGCATCGCCTACCTGGCCGCTGTCCGTAGGCTGGGAGGAGGCTCGCCAGGAGCAAAAACACGGTCCAAAGGAGCAGCTGGAGTCTCATGTCTGCAGTCAGCGCAGAGGCGAGCTCGGAGGGTGTGCGTATGTGTATATAGGCGAGGAAATGTAGGAGCAGCCGCCCGCGGGGCTGTAAGGGGCCAGCAGGGCGGCAGGAGCCCCTGTCCGCTCACATGCCAGTGACAAACCGGGGAGCCAGAGCCAGCCGCCTTCACCAGCAGAGTTAATTATCAGGCAGGGGCAAGGTTCCTGGATTGCGCTGCGATCTGGGCCTTCCTCTCCTCTCTTCTCCTCTCCCTTCTCTCTCTTTTTTTTTTTTTTTTTTTCTGTCACTCCCCCTTATTTTCCATAAGCAAACAGCGCAGGAATGAAAAGCCCGTGTAAACAGCAGCTCCTGTCAATGCGTAAGGGCAAGGAGCCTCTCGAACAATGCGGCCGCTCACTTTAAATTCAAGCCGGGCAGGAAAAAAACATATGTAAAACAAGCCACGATGTTCCCTCCCCCATTTGCAACTGTTTAAACTTTACATTGCCCATATTGATCCCACGTGCAGACAGCAATGGCAGGGGCAGGAAGTGTCCCCCCGACCTTTGTTTCCCCCTCTACCCCCGAAAGCGGGGGCAGGGAACCCCCACCCCCCCCCCAGCATGGCCCTCCTCGCAGCTCAAATGCTTTCTGTCTTCTCTAAACTAGCTGCGAAGTTGTGGCTATTCAAAGTGCAACTGACAGTAGTTAAGGCTAATGGGTGTCTTTTGTACCCTCCATTATTTTTAAAGGATCAGAATATTCAGGAATTAATATGTGAGATTTTTTTACTGCGTGGGGTAAAACAGATGTATCTGTTCCAGCAGTTTGAGGGGAGCAGTTTTGGATGGGACATTGGTTTGCGTAACCCACCTGTACCTTGCAGTGTATTTGTTCTAGATCATGGTGAGAGCTCGCTATAGCAAACCACGCTGAAAACAGCTGGTGCAGATACCCAAGCCTGAAGAGAAGAATGACAAAACTTGCGGAATGTGGGAGCAGCAGTGATGGCATTGAAATTCAGTGAATTACTGGCATCAGTTGAAATTAGACTGGTTCTTTTCTTATTTTCAACCTGCTGATTTCTTGTGATGGAATAGCACCTAGTGATTTGAAAATAAAAAAAAATTAAAATTTGTTCCTTTTTGGGAAAAGTTTCTCTTTCAAAATATGCAGGAAAGAGTAAATTTCTATATAGATTAAATACTACCATCAGTAATAGATAAATATTATTGAAAGTTTTATAAAGTTGTTTTTTGCCTAATTTCTTAAAGAATAGAATATATAATTGTTGTTTTATTGGGGTTTTTAAATTCAATTATCCCTGTATTTTTTCACTTGTGGGCTTTCCCATTTTCTTTAAAAGTATATTTAACTTTAATAGTGCATGCTAGTTCCTCCTCACAGAATTACACATCATTAGTAAGTTACTTAATTTGTCTGAGTATGTCCATATGACTTAAAAGACAACTTGCAGCTTGAATACATGGTGAAAATAATTATTAAATGTTGTTTTGAAATGATGTCAAGACTGTTGAGGAAGGTGTCTCAGACAAAGGAAAATCCTCCAGCAAAGGAAATCCTCTGCTGGTTGATCACATTCCTCCGTCATGAGCAGCAGATGCTTCCCAATGTTCTCTACAGCTTGGTGGTCATTAAGTTTTCTCTTTAGGATCTCTCACCTTTAAACTACACTTCTCTTTAATATTGATGCCACTAGCTCAGCTGAAATCAGGGTCCCATGGTACCAGTGATGGAATTGTCATAAGTAGAGTATAATTTTAAAGAGAAAGAGAGGAATGCTGTGGCCAAATCACATAACAAGTTTGTGACAGAATCATGGTTACATTCTCAATATCCTAAATTTTCTGACTCCACCAGGACACATTTAGGGATGTGTTCTGTTGCTCACCGTGAATGAGAACACACTGGCAAACTTGTTCATACATCCCTGCAAATGATGATCACTTTCATTCAGCAGCCAGCTATGTAAGGTTCAGACTCATAACCCAAAGGTGGAAAGTAATACAGACTTCAAAGTGATAGAGACTCTGTAAATAGCTAAAAGGCAGAAAGAATGCATAGACTGCTGTCAGTCCCTCAGGCTATCTAGGCCTCTTCTGCACCTGAATGTGGTCAAGTTTACCGACATTCTGAGGAGACATTAAATTTTAAAGGAAATTGAGTAAGATACAATAGTTAAGTGCAGTATTTATGTCTCTTTTTTTGTAGTTTGTTTACTAGTTCCACTGTTACCCTGTGCAAAAGTTTACAAAGGTTTATTTGACTGATAAAATCCAAGTCACCACGTCAGGATAGATCACATATTTACTGCAATTTTCATGTAAGCTACAGTAGTAATTCAATGCCTATCCACTGAAGAAATTTCTAAAATGTGTTACAGCCCTGATCTAGAACTTGTAGTTCTTTGGCAAGCAGCTTTCCTTCAGGTACTTAATTTCAAGTGGCATACTGCTGCTTGAAATTAGGCAAATAACAACTAGCCAAAATGTAGTGATGTAATAGTTCTGCCTTTTTCACAGTATTTGCTGGTGGGTTTTGTGTTGGCTTAAGAGGAAAGGGAATGTAAAGTATGTAGGAAAGCTGGAGGTCTGTAGATAATGCTTTATGAGCTAGAAGAATTGGTTCTTTGAATCAAAACTTCCCTTCTCTTGCAATCTGAAAGGAACACAATAAAGGAATGATGATTTCAGCATTTATCACCTATGTCATTGCTACTTTTCCAACAGACTTTCTGTTCCCTACTTCCTCTTTGATAGGATCAAAATAGTCAATTTATCAGTTTACATCCAGAAAGCAAAAAAAAAAAAAAATACTTAGCATATTGCAGAAATAATCTTAAAAGTTGTGAAAAGGAATATTTAGAAGTGCCTTTCCTGAATATCAAACATTAAGTAACATGCATGGCATTATCTTCTGCTTAACACATTTCAGTAAGTACTGTATCACTTCACTGGATAGAAATTGTTCTGTGTTACATTTTCAGTACAGAGTGACTGTTACAGTCTTTTTATTTGGGGAAAAAATAATTTGAAATCATTGTGCCATTTCTAATAATAAAACTGGAATAAAGGAATAGTCACTGAGGGAATATCAAATTATTTTGTCATATACAGAAAAAAAGTATTTAGATAAATGAGAGAGCAAGTCACTGCAAGAACAAAAGATGAAATAATGTGAAGAAACAGTAAAATTCATATCACTAAGAAGTGGAATAAGCAGAGTTGCATTATAACAACAGGCAAGAAAGATAAGTGGGCACTTCCTAGTATGGAGTAAGAGATTAATTAGCATTCCCTATTGGGCTGCTAGTTAGAAAAATTGAATCCTACCTTTTTTTTCAAGGCCAGCAATAAAGTGTAGTGTTTATTGTTAATATTTGAGAACAACTTTCAAATGCTATCAGTATAAAATGTTAAGTGAAGCCTCTCAAGTACAGGAATTAATTGTTATATATGACAATACTGGTTTCATCCCTGTATCCCCTTGAATAATAGTTCTTCCCCTGCTAGTGGCCTGTAAAAATATATTGATCATTGTGGATCTCTACTGTTCTATAAGAAGACATGCTGAATGCTCAGCAGTGATAGTAACTGATAGTAATTGAAAATTGTTAATTGACTTGGAAGTGTCAGATGAGATATAATATCAGAGTTTCTAATCAGATTTTCTAACTTTGTGTTCCCCAAATTAATCCATCCTACTGATCCAGAAGAATTATTTCACTAACCATCTCACTAAGATCTAGGATAAAAACCTTTAATTCAAAAGAATTTGGTGAAGCACACCATCAAGTCCAATTGCAAATATCATTAGGTAAAATCTAGGCTTTTCCTTGTTCCTTTCTATTACATTGCAAGATGGTATGTCATCTGTGCAATAGACAAAATAGAAAAATGCAAAAAGATTATGTAAGTTGCTGTTTGAGGGGAAAATGTTGGTGAGGAATTGCTCAAGGGGATAAATTTTGAAATGGTGTCTGGGCATCTGTGATTTTTTTTTTTTTAAACCACAAGTTTCACTGGGATTATTATGTCATGGTTTTGTAGGGTCTGTGTGCCCTCCACGAGTAAAAAGGATGTTTTTTCTTCAGCCCAGGGTACAGCACCAGACGCCAAATATAATGTTTGCCTTCTTCATTTACTATAATAATGAAGACTACTTTTTCTGGACAAAACTAATTAGCTCAAAAATTATGATTTTAGGAGAAATCTCTCTTTCTGTCATTATTTTAATCTTGGAAATGAAAACCGACTCAAAACCTAAACCCTGTTCCTCCTGTTTGGCATTTTATGCTTTTTCTGGGAAAAAAAAAAATCACTTTTCTGCCTATTAGTTCTCAGCTACCTTTCCTGCCTGGAGGGAGACAGGATTTTTCGGGAAGAAAATGGTGGTCAGCAAGCAGAAAGAATGCACACTGGTAACCTGACACTGGAGACAGATGTGCTCAAGGAAAGGAAATGGGGGACACATTAGACTAGGCTAAACCTTGTATTATTTTTGTTTTTCCAGTTTGAGAGGTTTTCCGTGTGTGTGGCAGAGATGCATAATCTAGAAAGTACATTTTGTGAAATTTTAAACTGGGAAGAAAATATGCTGTGTTCATGGCATCATCTCCAAGTTCTTACTGCAGTATAAGTAATAATTATAATTATTACAATAATAATAGAAAAGGAAAAACATTCTCTGTGGACTTAGTCTGTCTGACTTCTGTAACCCTACAATCTGTAGGGTTGATTTTATTTAATACAATGAAATACCAACCATGCACCTGAATAATCATAAATTATGAAGTCCCTCCTAGACAAAAGACGGTTTCATCAGTTACCTACACACTGTATTGATGAATTTGCCTTTTTACTTAAGGAAAATACATTTACATGGGCTTGAAGGTGCACTTATTTTTCAGTTCCCTTCCATCTCTAACAAGAAAATTTGATTCTAAGATTCATCTAGGGAATACATATACATATTTCTTTTTAATAGGAAAAGAGAGAGGTCAACTCTGGAGCAACAATGCCTGTGATCCCCACCAGTGTGGCCACATGTTCTATTTCAGGGAACCCATTTGGGGTCAGATTCCTCTCTGCCACTGGTCATAATTTCAGAGCTTTTTTAATTTAAAGAGTAATTTATATTGTCTTGAATTAATGATGTTCAAGGAAAAAAACTTGGTGCTTGAAAAGCTCAAAGTTCTATAATTAATTTTTATTTGCTGGTTAACTTTTAAATATGTAACTCCCCTACACAGCCAGACCTTTTGTGCCCTGGGTTTCAG